TGCTTTTCTGGGTTCATCCTCCCCTCCCCCATCATCAGCAATCTGCTACCTCTTGACTAGCCCTAGTTCTTCTCGTTTCTATGTGATCATTTTGAAATCTTCCAATCGAGACTAATACATATATACATACATGCACATCCTTTATTTAAACACGATAAGATTTAAAGCTCAAAGCTTGTGGGGTCGTGTAAAATTAATTACAAATGAACAATAATGGCGAACGGGTTCAATATTCAAATAATCAATGTATTATTGCATTCTTGCACTAACGGCTAGCGGGCTCAATTTCAAAATAATCCATTCATCAATGTAATCTTTAGGGGTACGCTTCACTTGGTTTGACTATAACTCTATTATAATTATTCTTTTTATAGGTGAGGGTCCGGAAAAATTGAGGGTTTGTAAATTCTATATTCCCAGTCCAACTTACTTTCCCCAGCCTATTTTTTATTCCCATTTTTGCGTGTGATTCCTAGTCCCTGTGATCCAGATCGAAATTTCTTAGTGAAAAAATGAGAAAATTCCACTTCACTTCCCTTCAGCCTTTTCATAAGTGTCCTGGAATGTTCGGTAAAGAAATGCAAGTTGTACTTTGTCATGTCGACACTAAGGCGTTCTAATAGCTCTAGTGCACTTCTTCTTAGACAACCAAAGTAAATTTTGAGGATCTCTTCTTAGAAAGGAAAAAAATTGCTTGAGCTAAGAATACGAAAATATTTACGGACAATAATTCTTCATACCAAGAAGCAATTTCGTTCATATTTATTGTACCACAAAAGCACCATTTCAAACAATAATATACTGACTGATTACAATACTTAACACTTGCAATGTCAACACCATGATCCAGCAGGGCAATACTCATTTTCTTACAAAAGGGCATCCAAATAACCCACAAAGGGAATCCTCAACTTGTGCTTTTCGATGCTTTACTGGTTTAAATTCCATACGATGTGGTATTTCTACAGGAATTAACACTGCAGGAACCCCAAAATCTAGAGACAAATCATGTTACATTTATGAAGGAAGGAATTAAACTGTTGCAACAAATGACAGTTGTTTTAAGGGTGGATAACAATATCCTCTGAGGAAATCGCTCTCTCCAGTGGATACATAATCCTCTGGATAGTGATTTAAATCCTCTGAATAGTGATTTATCCTGTGAATAGCTTTATCCACGCTTCTGACTACCGGTCCGGATTGATAGCTTATTTCAGCATGCATAAAAACATCTATAACTTAACGCTAGCCGTAATGAGCATATTAAATATAGGAAGGGATTGATTCAAAGTGGAAATTTTGTATTGAATCTTTTTCTCTCCATCAATTACTTTAATGGTTGATTTTTCTTACGATAAATCTTTTTAATATAAATCGTCTTGTGAGTGTCAGTTAAACTAAATGATATGGTTATTATAAAGCAAAAATTTTTACTTTCTTTTTCTTACTACACTTTCTTAAATATTGAGTCGTTTTCAATGGAATCGTTTGAAGGTTGCAAGGTATCTCGAGTGACCTCAATGTACCTGTCATAAAGATTCATGTGTGGAAGAGGAGAATTGTCAATGATCTCTCTCTGTACATCAACCAGCTCGTCACCATACTCGTTAATAATTTTTTTGGCATTACAAATTTCCCAAAAGTAACCATAGTGGGCATGGAAACCTGGCTTATGTATCTTGATATCTATAGGAAAGCGACACTTTTCATATAGGGGGTCACTCGGCAGGGGCATGGGGGCTCGTTTGACTGAAAGAAGTACGGATGTACCGTCGATGCCTAATGGCTGGATTAGATCTTTTTCGCTAATAAGCACATAATTAGTGCCACCTGCCATGTCGACCCTGCTCATACCATCAGGTTGCCCCATTGCATCCACGTCCCATTTCAAGAAGAGCAGATCACTTTTTTCTCCTCCTGTGAACCAAATATCTCCCCCATGTCGCTCATGAAATTTCATTTCACCAGAAATCAAGACGGGACTGATGTAGCCAGGAATAACCGGTCTAGGATTTGCATTGTTGATGAAGAGATTGACAGTAGATTCTGTCTCAAGCACCACTCTAAAGAGAGGATGTGGTTTCTGCCCCGTGGTATCAAAAACAATCAGCTTTTTCTTAAAGAGCACAACGTCATTGGCCGTAACCTGTGAAGATGAAGGCATTTTCAAGTTGAGTTTTGGGTTTTGGTCGCTTTTGTCGATTATCTGAAACCGAGGTACGTGCTCTTTATCATGCTTGGTATCTAGTACAGGATCAATCTTAGTGGTATGTTGTTTAGCAAGTTCTGCTAAATCAGCACAGTTGATTTCGTATTCATTGCGTCCTCGTTGTTGAACAACAATAAAACGGTTAAAATATGGTATGTTATAACCTTCCCCGGGAAAATTTGGATACAGAATCACGTGATCATCGAACGGTGAACCGTTAACTAACTCGACATTTTGCACGCTACCGAGTAAATGAGTGTTTCGGGTCGTTCCATGGTAATATTTCAAAGCACCAGTTTTGGCCTCGAAAAAGATGCCCTTTATGTCATTTCGATCTTTAGATATTCCTTGAAATGAGAGCACATTGTGCCCGTCACCTAAGTTGGCGTTTAAGATATCAACACTTCGACTTTGAAATTCGCCAATCATACCATTTATGTTCAAAACATCGTTGCCCCCTCCGGTATCAATTATTAGAGCCGGACCTGGGTTATTGTTGCGGTAAATTTTCTTGTAATCACTAATACTAACTACGTCGTGTTTTTCATTTGAATCTGGAATATTGTACTCGGTGTTGATGTACAAATCATTTAACCGTTCTTCATCGATAAAGTCAGAATCGATAAAAACATGCACGCCTTTGTAGGCTGTTCCTTCCTTGAATTTCCCATAAAAATCGAAGCCCACGTATCCGGCTACTTTACCCCAGCCAGTGCTGCTTTTTGCCGTGGGCATTAAAGGACTTATGATCGAGTGTTGATTGCCCATAATCAAGAACTCTCCGTTAGCTATCTCATCTGGCGGGTCTCTTGTGTCAACATACCTCCGTTGGTAAAGGGAGGTCGCGTAAGTGGCGGCTTTTGTGTGTTGGGGATGAGGGCTATCTGAGCCATCGACCATGATTAATCTACCGTAATGAACTCTTCGCATGGACGCCGCCTGGTTGTTGACGTAAACGTCGGTGTACGGCGATTCCACCTTATCCAGGAATTCCATTTTCTGGTCAATCCGTGCCCTGCAGGCGTCCCTTAGATTCTGGAGCTCCCTCAATCTGTTCCTGTACGCCTCAACTGCTGCAGCGTCGTACCCAGAATGACCACCGATGAGTTCCACGAGCGTAGCGGCGAGGCCAAGAACAATTCCAATGATGGCGCCGACTGGTCCAAGCACAGCAGATCCTGTCACGACGGCAGCTACAAAAGTAGTCAAGCCCACCAGTCCAGCAGCTATGCTCAGTGATGCAGCAGCTATACCAGGAGCGTTTTCGTCTTCGATTGCTATTTTTAATCCCCAAATGTTGATACCAACCGTTAAACTATCAGAAAGAGGCCCGAGCACGTCCAACCAAGAAGCTCCTTTAAACCACTTGCTTGCCCTACTAAACGCTTTTCGAACTCTACTTAAAGCAGGAAACTTCTCAACGTCAATCTTCAGAGCCCGTTCCACAGCCGTTTTCGCTCTTTTTATAATGTTCTTGTCGACATTCTCGGCTGGTTTCAAAATTTCGTCATTTAAAATCCTTTTGTAATCGCTAAAGGCTTGTCTTGTGGGAGCAAAGTTTTTCTCCTTTTTTATGTGAGACACAATTTCCTCGACAACCGGCAAAACGAAACCTCCGCCGACATCCAAGAGAGTCAAGGTTAAGACCGTTTGTGCGAGGCTTTCCTTAGCTTCATCCAACTTTTCTTGTTCCCACAAGGACATTGCAGCGACGTTACTGGAACGAGAGTAAATTCCAAGCATGACATTGGGTGCAGAAATTGTTCTTTGGAATCTTGTAACAGCCTTGACGTACATGGCTGAAGTAGAATATCGGGAAGCTGAGCAAACTTTGGGA